GCTTTGCTAACGCGCGTTTCGAGAACCAGGAGTTCTATTGAAGTGTACACATGCAAGCGCGCGTCAAACGCGCGTTCTCATATTTTAAGCCTCATTCGCACGAGCGCTTATAAAGCGACGCGTTATAACCTGACGTTAGCGGTATTTCACCGCTCCCAATTTTCGTGTTCATATGAACGCTTAAAATCACTCTGAAATCGTACCCGCTGCGGTGTGCACGTATAATTAAACTATGAATTCGAGAGCAAAATTATTGACAATAGCCATTTGTGTGGCGAGGAGGCGGAAAAGGAAAATAAAATCATATTGGGTACATCCCCTTAATGAGCAACGATATTTAAAAGGACAATTTGTGTTGCTTTATGAAGATTTGAGGAGTTATCCTAAAAAGTTCTTTAACTTTTTCCGAATGTCTTTAAGCACATTCGATGAATTATTGGGAATCGTGAGTCCTCTAATAACTCTTCAAGACACTAACATGAGATCTGCGATACTAGCTGTGCGGAGATTAGCAGTGACTCTGAGGTAAGTGATGATATAATACAGTCAACAGCAATAATATCTGGCACAACGAAGGCCACAAAACTCTGGGTTCGACGCATGTGCCCCTATTCGCAGTTGCCCCCGTCGCATTTGCCCACATTCGCATTAACCCCCGAAAAATTTTTGCGGCCTTCATTGTAGAAAATATTGTTACTGTTGTTTATATTATAGGAATTAATTAAAGAGAATAGTATTAATTCAAATTAATTTAATGTTAATCAGGTATGATAGGACATTTCGAATTAATATAATATTAATATTTAATAATGAGAATATGTATCCGTAGGCAAGTATTCTTCTGGTGAACTAGCAGTTACATTCGTCAAAGACACAGGACTATCGATGAACTTGATGTACCTGTTGGTGACGGACTGGGAACGGGGACGAATTGAGAAAAATAGCTTTGTGCAGATTGTGGTCTTGAATTGTTTCCAGTAGAAGTAGACGTAGAAGTAATAGGCGGGAAATATTGATATTGTTCTAGAATCTTTATTTCGTTTGATGGATGTACAGATTTGAGTTCTATTGTAGCGTGGGGCTGATTCATGGATATGGATGATGGTTGCGAGACTTGTGAGAACTGCTGTGGTTGTCTAAGATATGGTTGATTATTCTGTAAAAGTCGAGATTGATTGGACCGGGAATACTGCCGAATTATATTTAATATCTCTATTTTAACAGCCATTTTATTATCATCATCCATTTTTTTTAAAGACTGGACCAAGGATAAACAAAATGATGTATCTTGATCTGGTTCCGCCTTGTCATTTCTTATTGATTTTAACACCTCTTCTTCGAAAGTTGATATGGTATTTTCCTTCTTTTTTTTATTTATTTGCTGAGGAGAAGTAGGCGGAACAGATAATGTATTATCTGTTTTTTCTACATTAGATTCTGTCTGCTCTGAATCGTTACTTGCCGCCGTATAGTTTCCCGATATGGGGGCATCCTTCACATGGGGAACTAAAAATAATAACTGGTCGTAATACCTATACTTTTTCCTTTTCTTTGCACCTTGACCCGATGTAACATCTCGCTGGGCCTGATATTCTCTCCGGAAATTATCCCTGATATGTTTCCATTTAGCTTGCACTTCTTTGCCTGAAATACAAAAAATATATATATTTACTAAATAAAAGTGTTTTTATTGTTGACAGGTTTCTAGCGACTGGTCACAGTTTTCATGATCTACACTACCAGTTCCTGATAGGAGTGTCAACCATACATTACATTGTTAAACAAGTCTGTGACGCGATATGGGACTGTTTAATGCCTATTTACAAGGCGGAAAAAACTAGTGATGACTTCAAAAACATATCGGAAGAATTTTATCAGCGCACCAATTTTCCTAATTTAATAGGAGCTGTAGATGGCAAACACATAGAAATAACAAAACCCGACGAAAGCGGATCATTATATTACAATTATAAAAATTATTTTGCTCTCGTTTTGATGGCAATTTGTGACGCTAATTACTGCTTTACTTGCATCGAAGTAGGAGCATATGGTGGGTCCTCCGATTCTAATGTATTTAAAAATACATTATTTCATAGGAGATTAGAATCTGGACAAATAGAATTACCACAACCCAAAATTCTACCTATTGATATAAATGGAAAACCAATGCCCTATGTGTTAATCGGTGATGAAGCCTTTGCTTTGTCTGAACACGTTTTAAGACCATACCCAAATCGTAACTTGACCGTGCAGCAACTTATTTACAACTATCGACTTGCACGAGCACGCAGAATGATAGAATGTAGTTTTGGTATTTTATCTAGCAAGTGGAAAATTTTAACAAAAGCCATAGATCTTCATCCCAAAGACACGATGGTGTCAAATCAATAAATTGTAGGACAATTTTAGCAATAGCAAGATGAGTCAGCATGTGTGCTCTTACTGCGCGTGTATACACATATCCTACCATAATTTTTTCAATTGAATTCAGTGCATAAATAGTGTTAAAGAGCTCTTTTAATCCACTTCCGTTCATTATGTATCCGATAGATCCCATGAACGACATTAACAAATGGAATCCACCGAGTCTTATGACAGTATTATTCAATTTGGAATTCTCATCATATGAAGAAATGATTTCCCGCGCCTTAAAATATAAGGGCTGGTCAAAAGTGACGAAACAAGCATGCTGATGTAATGACTCACATTTTTCACGAGCAAATAACAGAGCAGTCAAAATTGTGTCATAATCACTCGGTGGAGCATTAATAAAGGGTAAGCACCCAATAGATGATTTTTCAAAGGGCAGTTCTGCTGTCGCTTGTTCCATGAATCCACTCCATCCAGGTATGTTAGGCAGGTCAACCGATTTTCCATATAGCCATAATAAGTCGGAAACTGATGGTGTAATCTCCGTCGCAACCGCACGAATGCTACCAAGATTTTGAATCTTTACTGTTTTCAAGCCCGTATCGTTTTTCTTCGTAAATGTTTTTAATTCAATGGCACCAAAAGTACCTACAACTTTTGCAGACGGCATTAGCTTTAATCGTTCAATATTTTGGTCAGCAGCAATCGCACTTTTAGGTGTTATACAATGGATACCACCCATAGCATGAAAAGTGTTGTGCCCATCTAATGTCTGCGTGTTGAAATCGGCGTTATCGAAAACAAACTGTGAAAACGATTGATCATCGATATTCAATGGCGAGCGCATTATAGCTGAAACTTCGAACAGCATTGCTTCAGTGTAAGAAGAGCAAAATCCGAGAGATGATAAAGTATCTATCAATCGTCGAGATCCATATTTTTGGAATAAAAATACTGCTACTCCAACCTGAACCGATGATATAAAAGATTTCGGCCTTGCTGCGGCTATAATAGAATGTGCGAGAGCAATGCTTTTCTTCTTCCATTTGTCAAGTGATGCTCGTTTATTTTTTAAAATTATTCCATCCAGAAAAATTCGTAAAGTTTCAGGGATATCTGACTCGACATCTTGAAAAAATATTGTCTGATGGAGGATAATGATTTGTCTCGTACACTTTAGACCGAATATCTTCTGTAACAATTATTGATGCTGCCTTTATACTATATAACGTAAGCCTATATAATACGCTTACGTTCTTCTAATTTGTTGTCACTTTTTTCATTGTACCAGGCATCCGTTAATAACTTAAACCCTGTACTTCGAAAACAAACCACAGACGACTTATTGGCAGTGACAGCAATTAAAATATCATCACCATATTTTTAGCTTTCACTGTTTTTATGTGTGGACGGTAATCACCTTCAATTTTTGTCATAAGTTCGTCCAGAGAAAACTGACATTCTTCGGAATTTTCTTCGAGATATGAATAAATGTATTGCATCACGATATCAATCTCGCTTGCATACGGACCTCTTTTTTTTCTTTCTTCGGTCGAGGGCGTTTGATACAAGATCTTCATACACGAATTGTGATATTGTGCATCGGCTGCGACTAAGTCAGTAACCTGCTCAAGGCGTTCAACTATTGCTTGTCCCCAATCATCGTTACGAGCCCGAGCAAGTTCTGAAATACTATTTTTCATCGACAATTTAGGCACACTATAAACGATATTACGTTCACATAAACGCGTCTGTTTTTGTTTAGATATCAACTCCGCTGTTATCTCAGCAGCACATAAAAAAAAATGATTTTTGAATGAGATCGTTGGACGTGTAGATCTTAGTTGTACTTGAGAAGTTGTACCATCACTTCCTCTACGCAAAGCTGCAGCGATTAACTTCTCATTATTATATCGTTTTCGACACGCATCGTGAACTACTATGGATTTTAATCCCACCAAAAGTTTGTATTTATTGTCTTTTCTTTTTATACTTGACTTACGAAAAGTTTCCAATCCTTTTTCCTTCACTTCAATAACTTCACTTTCTTGTCACCACAAATAAAGCAGTTTACTTCATTAGAAGTAGTGATGTGCCGGATCGTCAAAAATGTAGATCCGCGGATACGGATCTGAATACAGATATTTGGTGTCAAGATCCGCAGATACGGATACGGATACGGATCTTAACTTTCTTACACAATCGGTGTCGGTGCGCGCGATCTTGAGTTGAGACTTGTTTCGACTTGCATTGCGCAGCGGGTTTTTTTTTGTTTTGTTTTAGTTTATGTGACACTGGGCAGCATAGATAACGCTTGTGTTTGGTATTGGTACATGAGTTTAAAAAAATGTTTACAAAGAAGTTTAGTAGTGTAATTTGGAATTATTTTGATAAAAGAAATGATGAATGTGCAAAGTGTAAAATTTGTGATGGAAAGTAAAATTTGTGATGATAAGTTTGCAACATAAAGGAGAGTATTGAATTTAATAGTTTTTTATTGCTACTTAATCACCTATTTAACTTTTTATAGATAAAATTCTTTAAGGCAAAGAGTAAGGCGCACTAGCGACGCCAATTGCTTTAAATTTTTAGCTACTAAACCAGATCCATTTCAAATAATTGTGGACCGTCAGAACTTCGGCAATTGGCGTCGCTAGTGCGCCTTACCCTTCGCCTTAAAGAATTTTATCTATAAAAAGTCCGTGGGATATATAGGATATATAGGATATAGGGGATCCGTAAAAGATCCCCCAAAAAGTAACGGATACGGATCTTTCTTCTGCCTCGGATATCCGCGGATACGAATACGGATACGGATATCCGGCACGTCACTAATTAGAAGCCATGGCTCTGTAAATGCAAACGACCCTGTTAAATGATAAACGTATACTGATGACTCAGACTAAATATTTCTATTGAGCTCAGCTGAGGCCAGATGTTTCTTAGATGGGAAAGAAGGGGCCTGACACAGAAGGGACGCATTCTTTTATACCTGCGGAGACATAACAGACTAGCTAGACATGGTAGACTAGTAGTTAGCTAGGTTTTCATTCTATGGAACAATATTTAACCTTCGTATAATTTTTATAATTTACAAATCACAATATGAGCAGTTTAAAGTAAATATTACACGTTGGTGTGGATGTATAATGGTTTACGGTGCTCGTACGCCGAAACTATTGATTTTAGGAAAAAAAAGATTAAGACATAAATTGTAGGAAATTTTCTCTACTTTTATTTTGTATAAATATGTTTTTCCTGTAAAATGCGCCAGAAAGGAGTTATTATCAAAAAACTGCTTTTGGACGCCATTTTTTCAATATGGCGGCGCGAGCGGCAGCCATACGAGGTGGCAAAGTTGAAATTTGGCAAGAGCATACCAAAATCTATAAAATTGCCAAATTTCAAAACTCCCGGAAAACTTTCCAGGTAACCTCTATTTTTTCGACCAAATGACTGTACTAATTTTGAAGCCTTAAGTGATTATGTAAAGGTAAATAAAAATAATTATTCAAATTTAAAATCAACTGTTTATTTTAATTACAATTCCGTGATAGTTTCGAATTCAAAATTAGCATTAGGTGATGGTGTTATGGCATGAGAAGACGTAGCGGTACGTGATGTCTGATAATGAAGTGCCAGATGAGTCCATTGTAGAGGAATTACTGTACTGCTGTGTATAGTATCCTTTATTAATTTGTTGTTGTGTGTATTTCCCTATATCTGCTTTAATAATTATATTATTGATAGCGTTCTTAACACACGCTAATGTGTGCGGATCATATTTTCTTAGCTCATTGGCTATGTGTCTTCCAAATGAAAAGTATGGATTGGTGATGTCGTTGGAAGACTTTTGTAAGCATTCAAGGGCTTCGGCAAGCATGATATCTGCCGAATCTTCCTGTGGCTGAGTTTTCTGCGGATTATTTCGTTTTTTTACGAGCAGGTTCTGATGGTGATGGCATGCTAGCTCTCGAGGCTAGGTCTTTTTGTTGTTGTGGTGGCGCTTCCTCAATGCTAGCCTCCGGAAATTGCGACTGGGTCGGCGCGTTTTCAGTCTCTGCGTGTCTCTCTGCATCAGAAGTTTGTGAAGATTCCGGTATCGCCTCCTGAAAACATTATTTTAATTAATAGATCAATTTGTGGTGCAGTGTGAATGTCTATATAATGTGGCAGGATCCTACGTTTAATTCTATTGGAAGTTTAAGCTTTTAATTAAAAAAATAGTACCTTAGTAGCGAAAACTTAAATATTTTTCTAGCAGGATCCTCCATTGCTTGAACGTCTTCTGACTAAAAGTATTTGGCCCCTAATATACCACTAAAAGGGGCCAAATACGGAGTGGTGTATAGTACCTAATACAACCACTCGTAGGGGTCAAATACTTTTAGGCCTAACTCACACTGGCGCTGAATCGAAGCCTTCGCGCGGCGACGCGCGCCTTCGCGAGGCGACGCGCGTTTGTGCGCGACGGCGCGTAGTGCCGGAACCAGTTCAGAGACTTTTGAACATTCGTGAATGGTGCTCGCTCGACAGTATTGTGATGGTTGATATCGATCTTATCATGATTGCTTTAATATCAGAAGCTAAAGAGGAAGAAAGTGAATTTATATCAAAGGTGAGAATAGAAAAATAAAACGAAAATTTTGGGTTCACGAGTTATGGAAGAAAAGACATATACTTGGCGAATTCAGAACACTATGTAGTAATGATTTAAGTCTGGACCCAAATGGGTTTAGATAAGTTTGAAAATAAAAAAGTTAAAAAATACGTCAAACTGCTTTTTGCGGTACTTACTCAGTCTTCACTGTTATTCAGATATTTTTTAGTTTACTCGTAATATCGTTGCTGATAGGAGTTCAAACAGTGAAGTGTTATACAATCAACTAATACAAGTGTTATCAACAAGCCAAACAAAGGATTTGGTGATTTATAACTCGTCTATCATTTCGACTTGTAATTTTTTTTTTCTTTCTACCGCCAAATCCTAATAGCGGGAAGCGTCATATTCAATTGACAAGCTGTCACCTCATGTTGACAACTCGCCATAGACAAATAGAGTTGCCATATCCCAAAAGTTCTACCATATTCGGGAAAATTTTGCAACAATGAGCACGTGTGGTGGTTGTAAAAAAATTATCTCTGCTTCGGATGTGATTACATGTTCGAAATGTTCTGGGACGTATCACTACATATGCGTTTATATAAGCAAGGAAAATTTCAAGAAACTGTCCAAAGAATCCTAGAACGCCTGGAAGTGCCCAGTCTGTAAAAATATGCAGCCAAAAGGTGGTGATAACTCTGACACACCAATACGGAGTTCCAAGTTTGACAGCAACGTTCATGATAACTCAAAAGAAGTTTCAACTGCAATCACACCTTCTTCTTCACAATTAGATCCAAACCTGTTGGCTTTTATTAAACAGGAAATTCAATTAACCATCAAAGAAGCAATGAAGTCTTCTATGAAAAACTTTGAGAACGAACTTCGTGACATCAAAAATGAACTCAATGCATTGAAAGAGTTAAAAAACTCGATTCTCTTCCTGAGTGACGATTATGACGCTATAAAAGCAGACTACAAAAACCAATACCGATAAGATATCTTCCTTGGAAAAACAGAACTTTGAGCAGGCTGATACTATTCGTGATTTATCATCTAGATTAAACCTAATGGAACAGCACTGTCGACGAAATAATATCGAAATCAACGGCGTTCCGGAAAATAAATCTGAAAACATACTTTCATTGGTGAAGCAAATAGGAACAGTAATTTCTTGTCCCATCGAAGAGACTGACATTATTGCATGTACCAGAGTGAGAAAACTTGACAGCACTAGCAAGAGACCTTGATCAATAATCGTGAAACTGCCAAATACTCGCACAAGAGATAATATCATAGCTGCGGTATCAAAGTTTAATAAGGCCAACCCAAAAGATAAGCTTAACACCGTGCAACTGGGCTATATTTCACTAATAAATAGATCAATAGACCAAGGTATCTTTTCAGAAATATGGAAGATGGCTGTCATTAAGCCTCTTCCAAAGAATAATCAGCTGTCATCAATATCAGATCTACGTCCTATAAGCCTTCTACCTTGCTTATCCAAGGTACTGGAGAGGATAGTTTGCGAACAGCTTACTAAATACCTTGAAGAACACAATATTCTACCTCAATATCAATCTGGTTTTCGAAAGGGGTTTAGTACAGCAACTGCTCTCAGCGATGTGGTAGATAACTTTCTCACAGCTCAGGACCAAGGTATGATCACCGCACTACTGTTGCTGGACTTCTCACGTGCATTCGATTCAATTAATATAAGCATTTTATTATCCAAGTTATCTTACTATGGTGTGGATGCTAAAACTTTGAGATGGTTCGATAGCTACCTTACAAACAGAAAACAGTATGTAGAACTTACTATGGCCGATGGGTCCAAATCAAGGTCAACCCCACTCCCAGTGACAAGGGGTGTAGTGCAGGGATCCATTCTCGGGCCGATTCTCTATATTTTATATAGTGCAGACATGACACATAGTATTGGCCACTGCAAACACCATCTCTACGCTGATGACCTTCAGCTATATTTGTCATTTTTACCAGAGCAACATGCTGATGCTGCAACAAAAATTAATGAAGATTTAGAAAAAATATCAAACTGGTGCATATCTAACTGCCTAATGTTAAATCCCACCAAGTCTAAGCTCATGCTATTTGGTACAAAAAAGAACCTGCAAAAGTTTACCAATGGTCAAGTACCATTTAACATAAACATTCAAGGTGAAACCATTGAGCTTGTACATACAGCAAGAAACCTGGGACTTATCCTCGACAGCCAATTGAAATTCGAAGACCACATAATTGAGTGTGCCAGAAACTGTTTATATAGAATAAAGGTCTTGTATAAGATTAGGCCATACATAAGTGAGACTTTGAGGGTTAGGCTGTGCGAGTCACTTGTTCTCTCCAAACTCAACTATTGCGATGTTGTCTATGGTCCATGTCTTCTGTCCAGGTCTGCTAAAATGATACAGCGAGTGCAGAATGCATGCGCTCGTTATTGTTTTCACGTTCCACCACGTTCACATATATCACCGTTCCTAAACAAAGCAAACCTATTAAAAATGGAATCACGTCGAAAACTTCACCTTGCAACTATGTTGTTTGGTGTTATAAATACAAAGAAACCAAAATACCTGTATGTCAAGCTGGTTTGGTTGCAAAAGCTTCTCAAATACCAAAGACGTGTATGCACACACGTCTTCTTGACGCCCCAGCATCGCACTGTGGCTTTTAGGGGTTCTTTTAAATTTGCTGCCTCCCGATGCTGGAATGACCTTCCACCACCCATACGTGACCTAAAAACAAAGTATTCATTGAAAAAACACTTAAAGGCATACCTCATGTCGTTGCAGGTGGGAATATAGTGACGCAAGGGCAGAATGTTCTTGGCTGAATCTTTTAGCCTTTAATTTCATTTCATGGAAGATAGCTCGTTTTAAATTTAAATTATCCGTTGTACAGAGACCACCTACGTGTAGAATAACAGCAATATTAACAATCTTGAGTTCTTGAAAAAAACCTTAAACATTATACATATAGCACATTATTAGTTTTTTGAAAAATACTTACATTAATGTTTTCACGCTGCTCTAATAACTCCATGTAAGTCACTGTGCACCATGGTTTTTCACTTTTGGCCCGCTCATTCAAAATGGCACGGATTTATTGTTGATCTATCAAGAATTGCCACGTAAAATACAACACACTCTGCGCGCGCGGCCATTACGTGGCATGCAGAATCAAAGTCCATGCACCATGGGACCATGTCAAATCTGCCATAGATTACCGAAGGCACAGATTAGTAGTTCTCTGGTGCGCTGCAGCCGTGTCGCGGTACGGCGCGGCGGGAAAATGTAGTTCCACCATAGATGTAGTGTGTTTTAATTATAGGTATTATTCATTATTTCATTTTATTTATAGAACAAAATTTATTATTTGACGTTTTTTTTTTTTTTTTTTTTTTTATTTCTTTTATTTAAAATCACTCGCATTTTGTAGTTCGTACAAGATGCGAGTAGGTATGTGTAGTCGCAATTTGTTTGGCGTTTCGGGCATCACTAGGTGCTGGCTGAAAATCAGCGCTGCTGTGGTATTGCGAAAGTACTACCACAGTAGCATAGCTGAGACAGCGACCTGTTGGCCCTGCACAGCAGCACCTGAATTTAGTTTTCTTGTTTTTATTTGTGTTGTTATACTTTTTTTTTTATTTTATATTTTCTGTTTTGTTTTAATGTACCTACATAATGCTGTGTAACCAATAAATGATTTTTCTTTCTTCTTTCTTTCTTTCTATTTGTGACAAAAACGCTGTCTATATTTCTGAACATCTCTGCCCGTATTATAAAGAGCCGCACGCGGAAACCAGAAAAATAGCAAGAAAAAAAGGCTATAAATATGTTTGGATACGGAACGGGCGAATCTTTATACGCAAGAATGATGAATCACCGTCTGGGCAGGTTAAGTCGGCGAATGACTTGAAGCAGTTGTAGCCTTTTCAGAACTGTACGATTACATTGCCGTATCAACTACTGCAAAATTCACCGTCTACTACCAAAACCTCCGTGGCATGCGCACTAAGCTACTTGACATCAGGCTCGCTTCTTTGACAATATCTTATGACATCATAATCGCAACTGAGACTTGGCTGGATGACACCATCAACGACAACGAACTTCTGAGCGACAAGTATACCATTTACAGAAGAGACCGCCTATCAACATCCTCTTTATCTAAAAGAGGTGGTGGGGTACTAATTGCTGTATCGAAACATATCCAGTTAGCCCGCATTCAGCATTACGAAAGTAGAAACGAAGACTTATGGGTATCTATTAGAGTCAAAATCAATAATACGGTAGAAGACTTTTTAATTTGCGGTGTCTACGTGCCTCCACCTGTATCACTTGGCGTACTCGCTTCAGTACTGGATAACTTCAGCTCTATAGTTAATACAAACTGGAGCAGGACTATGATTTTCGGTGATTTTAACCTAGGTTTTATTGATTGGTCTCCAGATGAGACTGCTGGTGGGTTGACTCCGTCAAACTACAATAGTCTGCTTGGTTATGCCCTGGTCGATTTTGTCTTACAGCAGTATAGAACAATTTAACTTTGTAAAAAATGCGAACAACAGAATCCTAGAATTAGTTCTGGTTGATGTAAAGATTGTGACGAGTCTTGTAAGTAAATTAAGTCCTATTCTTAATTTCAAAAGAGCTAATTATCCACTTATAAATGAAAAATTGTATAATGTGAACTGGGAGTCTGAGCTGGGGGGCAGGATGTCAACGTTATGATGCGTAAATTTTATTCCATCCTCAAGAACATCATTCATTCTAATATCCCCAAACTTATTATCCGCCGTAGAAAATATCCTAAATGGTTCACTCGCGCTTTAACTAACTTAATATCTGAACGTGATAATATTAGGTGCCGTTTCAAAAAATATAACAACCAGCGAGATTCATTTGAACTTAAGCTTGCCAATAAGCGAGTGGACCAAATGATAAAAAAATGTTATGCTGCATATCTAGATGGGGTGGAGGACTCGATTAGGCAAAATCCTAAAAAATTTTGGTCGTACGTCAAGGATCTCCGCGGTGGTAAATCTAACATTCCTGGTGAAATGCATCTCAACACGGCTTCATCTTCTACCGGTAACGAAATATGTGATCTTTTCGCAACACACTTCTCCTCGGTCTATACCCAGAAACTAGATTCCATACCCAGTGATTTAGTTAATGATAGTGACTATCCCCAGTTATCTCTCGGTAATGTTGCTATATCCGAACGCATGATCACTAAGATCTTATCCAAAATTGACGAGAGTAAAGGAGCAGGTCCTGACGGCATTCCACCACTATTTCTTAAAAGAACCGCTAAATACATTGCCCTGCCACTTAAAATCATATTAGCTAAATCCATTGCTACGGGTGTTTTTGCGGATTTTCTTAACGAGGCTAATATCATTCCAGTCTTCAAAAAAGGTGATAATAATAACGTTAGAAACTACCGCCCAATATCTATTCTGAATGCAATATCAAATTTATTTGAAAAAATCATCTGCCCGTTTTTAACTTCCCATTTTAAAAACATCATTCATGCAAACCAGCACGGATTCTGTAAAAATAAATCAGCAGCAACCAATCTTGTTTCGTATGTTAATGAACTAACGAAATCAATCGACTCTGGCGTAGAAATAGATTCCATTTATACAGATTTTAGCAGTGCGTTCGACAAGGTTGACCACAATCAGTGGCGTAGCTATCATAGGGCCAGGAGGTGCAGTGCACCAGGGCCCCGGAGCTCAGGGGGCCCTCAAACCTCAGCTTTGAAAAAAAAAAAATTAAAAATTAAAAAAAAAAAAAAAAAAATTAATTAAAAAAAAATCTTGTGAGCAGGCTCGAGACTCGAGGCTCGAGCCTGCTCACAAGATTTTTTTATTTATTTTTTATTTTTTTTTCAAATCAACAATTATAGAACTCCTTATTCAACATTTCCAACACATGCGCCAAGCCTCCTCGATAGGCATGTGCTGTTTGTTATCGTTAGTTCGGTTATTTGGTAGTTTTGATGAGTACGCCCGTAGCACATTGGATCAGCGATAAGCTCACGTGCTTGACGGTAGTGAGATCAATTTGCCAATTCCACCCATCAACTTTTTAATGAAGCTTTCATTCGCTCTTGCCTTGCATCAGTTCTCATTTATGATATTTGTGGCGATGTTTTCAACTTCCTGGGGTCTGGGACGTACTACAATAGTTGACGCTAGGTGTGTCGCTGACTGTTGTAATTCGTAATTCCCTACTACCAGCCTTATTTCATCAAGTATCTGGCACCAAATTCTGCTAGAACTCATTTTCGCTAAATAAATTTCCGATGACAAAATATGTATGATACAGGTTGCAGCACAACGGTAACCGTATAATCTATGATAGCTCTCAACATGATCGATAACAAAAAATAAACAACGTTATTCTAAACTCAAATTCAATTTCAAATTGACAAATGAGCTACTACACGGAAAAAAAGAAACAGTAAATATCGCAGTGTAAACTGCTTAAACAACGGGGTACCCACTTCATTTTATAGTGGAAGAGAGAATTTTCCTGTCCAAACTGAGATTTTAACAGTTACACTGGATTGTTTACAGTTCGATACAGTAAATTCATCAATGTTTCCAGTAAAAGTGTTCAACTGTCAAAATTAGATGACATCACCGATTTTCATACTGTACGCAGCAGCAACGGTTACAGTGTAACAGTATTGACTACAGAGCGATTCATTCAATTTTACAGTGTGGCACGCACGGACCTAAAAAAAAGACGGACGTAACATCAAAGGCAAATCATGTGAAGCATGCAAGGTCAGACAAAATCGTTTGTTGTACACTACCTACACTCACACCACGGAGTACCCCCACTAGAGTCCGCATCACGCAAATTTTGTTTGAAATCAAAATCGCCAAAGTCGGCGGCGTGCAGGGAGATCAGCCGCGTTGTGATTGGACACGTCAAGGTCAGATGATATACTCAGTGCAGCGAAGTGATGAGGGTAAGATCGATTTTAGAAAATATCGATATTTTCTATCGATAAATAAAGGACACCCGGCATTATGTGCCAAAGTTGTATACTTTTTTAATTTTTTTATCTGTGTTTCATAATTGGGTAACGTAGTCTGGCAATATTTGTCATCAGCAGCTAGCTGTCAATGTCAAATACGTAGGTTTGTCAATATAACCTCTATTATGTAGCCGGGTCGTCAAGAGAAATAACGGATAAAAAGGCAATCACAGCAGAGAACATTCACAATCACAGTACGCGGGAGCGAATGATTTTTTTGTTTGTATTTTAGGATTGTCAAATTGACATTTGGTTTTTTATTTAGAAAAAGCAAAGGAATCATGGTTTTTACAGTCACTTGAGTAATATTTTCAAGTAAAATTCTGTCCCTTGAAGATTTAGGGTTTCCATATCAAAAAATATTAATCATTATATAACTTCTTTCCACGATTCACTAAAAATAAGGCAAAATTAGTTTTATGTAGCAAATAATTTTGGCTTCATTTTGAGACCAAATTCAACTGTATACAAGTTTAGCATTTTTTAAGTGCCGGATCTCCATTGTACAGAGGCCTAGTACTTTGGTGCGCTAGTGTAGCTATGCGCAAACATACTCTCTCCACTTTCTTCCAGCGTTCTAATTACATGACGCGACTAGTAACTACATACTAAATAAAATATAAGCAACACAAAAAACACGTAAAAAAATATCTAGATAGACAATAATATGCTGTTTATGACAACTTTTAAAACTTAAGGCGCCTTACTCATCGGCTCGGTACAGGTTCGTTTTGTTTGCGGGAGTGACTGTCAGTGGTAAAGTGACGAGAACATATGTAACTGTTTACTGTTGGAGTCCAATCTTTACGTTTAGTTGCACTTATCCAAAGTTCCTTCATCTTGGCACATTTTGGAAACCTATGAAATAGATAAAACACGTAATGTTACTGTATTTTGATTCTCGCATCAGTCTGTAAGATATCACCTTAAATATCTTTTTAAAGATTTTGCTCGTTGCTGTTCTCGTGAAAGGCACATGCGATATACAGACTTAATGAATTTAATATTAATACGGTGACGTCCGTGGCTCTTGACTTAGCACACGCAAAATAAGCTAAGTATAACCTAATTATTGATTTTGAAGGAACTTGGTAAATACTTATCAAATTTTATGCTAGCTACCACCCACGACTTCATCCACGTTAACTTTAGTTTTTTGAAAATCCTAAAGAAACCTGACATTTTTCCGTTACAAAAAGTATTCTATACAACGATATTTTATACCCTAGATACGACAACATGTACAAAATCGTGGCCGAAACGTGACCAAAAGGTACATTTGACGATTCACAGAGGTCCGTAAGATGATCGCGTGGTCAAAAACAATGTAATGCATTATTTAAAAAAAAGTCACCTTTAATGCATACGGCATAAGCTCTTAATTAAAACGCATGCATCAAAGATTTATGGCAGTTCAAAATGCAAGTTCCTAAAATTTTACGACTTATTGTTATATGCGAAAGAAAATAGACCTTATTTTTTTTTAACTTTTCGCGCTCAATTCTGAATGTGCTGTTAGCTATTATAGCAGGTACAGACCGCGAAGAGAAAAGACGGCTATAGGGCGACGTATAACCGACCATGCTTTTGAGTATCACAAATATGTTATATTAAATCAGTTTATAGTAAGTATTACAATAAAATTTGCTTCAAACGCGTTAAATTTATAATAATAATAATAAAAACGTTTATTTGGCTCAAATTATATAAATAACTTATTGTATTACATAAAGATGACTATGTACCAAATTATAAAAACATTAATTAGATACCTGTCGAAAAAACAACACTTTACGTACTATTAGTATTTTTTTCGCATTTTTACGGAGCTCTGCGGCATTTTGACTTTTCGACATCGGTCCGCGCGTGACTGTAAACCAAGAAGTGCTTGAATAAAGCTTAAGCACTTGTTGATTGGGACACATTTTGAGCGCTCGTGGTCTATCTAGGGTATTTAATATCGTTAATTCCATGTCTTTATCTAGGTCATAAAGTATGCGCACTTAATTTCATACAAATCGGTTTAATCGTGTAATAGTAACAAACATCCATACAAATTTTCGGGTTTAAAATTTTAGTACGATATGATTAAAAACTGTTGGTTGTCTACTCATGATATCTGTTATTGTATACGATGAAATAAATAGTTTTTATTTATTTTTTCTATTTCCGTAGCTGACAAACTTATCGATAAACTTACGGGTACAGACATGAGCTGCGTCAAGTCACTAGCAATACACGTGCCGGTGTGAGAGCGGAATAGCATATATGATGTAGCGCATGCGAGAAAGGGATAGTGTTAAAAGACATCAACGCGTTCACCAAAAAATAAATACAATTAAAAGCAATTTCATATAAGAGTATTTTTGTCTTTTTGTAATGCATTTAAACTTACCGGTGAAAAGTAATACCATCTTTTTGAAGACTGGAAGTTTTACTCCACTTTCCACATAATTTAATTGCACAGTACGGCATTATTTCTAGTTTTTTAACGCAAAAACGAGAGAAGCACTTCTGCTAACGCTCGGCTTCGGAATGAAACGATGTATAGCGACGTCTGTGGGCGTGTCTCACGCATACGTAATATACTACTTAAGCTTGGCGTAAGCGCTTGCCCTTGTATGCGGACTCTAGTGGGGGTGCTCCATGACTCACACTAATGCACCAGGTCGGACAAACCGCTGCCATTTGACCCCGCGTGACAGCGGCAGTCACACATTCAATTGCTCTGATAAAAATAATTAAAAATGCCGTCTTGTGTGGTGAAATCCTGTAAAAACTACACGAATAAATTTAAAAAGTCACAAGGAATCACCTACCATGCGTAAGTATTGACAATTCTTGATATTTATTCCATATTATATTTTATTTACTGGGATGAAATTTGTAAACAAAAATACAACTGTATGGCTTCTTTATTTACGGGAAATTTTTCCTAAAAGTAGGGAATTTTGTATTTCTTGATTTTGTGACTCGGTAAGGTCAGATTTCGTAACTTTTTAGGGTTCCGTATCCCAAAAGGAAAAGAATAGAAGCCATATTATTCATAGAATATTTTATGTTTTATAAAATGGTATGTTCTCGCTGTGAATTCTTTGTTGTTTATATATATGTAAATATGTCGCAAACTTTTTTGTGTTTAGCAACTGATTGTAACTAATTAATTCTTTGTGTTTTTTTTATTGTTTGGTTTTAGTTTTGGTTTTTGTAAGTTCTAGTTTGTCATAGATTAATCTTACTTCATTTTTATTTGATTTTTTAATAAATTCATTTCTCTTGTTTTAAGATACTAAAAGCATTGAACCTATGTTGTTATTTTTTTTTCTCTTGTTGATTGTTATGGTTCTAATCTTGTTTTATTATTAAATTAAAAATGTCTCGTCAACCCTGCCAGAATTATCAGCGCTGCAGCAGCCCTGGTGTTGCTGTAGTATTAAGCTGAGGCAGGGACCTAGTTGGCCTGTCTTTCTGTGTTCTGTGTTTGTATATGTGTTTCAAGGTCAATAAAATTTCTTTCTTTCTTCTTTCTATATAAATTATTGTATTGCCTCCTTTCTAATAGGTTTCCTAGAAATAGAAAACGTAGAAATGACTGGGTTTTAATTATTCGATACTGCAGAGAGGATAACAATTGGAACCCATCACCTGCCAGTACTGTGTGCAGTGCACATTTTGATAATTTAGATTTTAAAAATACAGCTAAGGGGCTACGTTGTTTGGTTCCGTACGCCATTCCAAAAAGGGTAAGTATGAGATACTGTATTTGTACTATTTGTTTATAATTTATTGTTTACGCATTAAGATAAGTATTTTTCAATTACTACCCGGTTAAGATTATTTCTATGCATTTGGCATAATGTGTTTTCGTGCAAGCTTGTTGGCGAAATACAATCCTTCTTTTTCTTGCAGTTTATTTAACTGATTCCATTAGATTTCCTTATTACTGCTATCTAAATCCCTTTTTTAGCTTCCCAATTATTACTAATAAGCTTAAACATATGGACAGGATCTAAAATACAGCCACATCCGATCCATCTGCAGGATTTTAAAAGGTGGTATTTAATTCATATTTGTTATCTATTTTACATCCCAATAATTACATTAATGTTAAATTACTTGAATGACCATCGAATGTTAAGCATGCGACTTTAAGCCTGCATCATAACATTTTAAAAGACATAAATAAATAAAATTAAATTTCTGCTCTGCACTTACCAGTAAATATCCCAGAGGTAATTTAAAATGCTAAATGATTCCGTATATTAAGAATACGAATGCTTCAGAAGCAAGGGTTTGACAGTTTTCTGAAGTTCCTGTCCCCATATCGACATATCTCTTTTCCTCACTCTGTCAGTCTTTAAATACCTACTAAATCAATGAATGAAACACTTACATTTAAAAGAAGAAATAATAATATTAGTCTATTATATTTTTATTTTAAGCATTAATCTGCGCGGTTTAGGTATATTAATGTATGATATTTAACCAGATACTTAATTTTTATGTAAATAATAAATTTCTTTATATGTAGCAAGTGTTTTCATTTTTCTAATGGTCGTCATAAAAATGATGTTTGATAGACCCACATTATGTTTCTAAAGTGCACCCGTTTAAATTGCTGAAATATCGGGAGCTCACATCTAATAAAAACATGGTAAATATCCCGTTATTGTAATAAATACATATTACAATAACGGGATTACCTACATAGTGTTAACAATATTTTAGTTTGAGACATTTAAAAAATAGGGAAATTGATGACTTATATGACAACCCTCAAATCACGCACACACGGTAAACGGGCGGCCATTTGCATGCTTCACTCGTGATTAGACGAGGTTACGTCCGTCTTTTTTTTAGGTCCGTGGTGGCACGGTTGTTACACTGTTCTTTATACGGTTAGTGACGTTATCACCAACACACGGACACACAACACTGTGTTTAACAGTGTTGAACTGTTAAAATTTACTTTGGATTACACTGTAATTTGACCACTATGTTTCAGTAAATATCGCTTTGCAATCGCTTCGAGTCCAATAAAAACCGTGTACCACTGTATTTTGAACTGTTTCTTCTTTTCCATGTAATTAAAAATTATGGAAAGAAAAAAGGAACGTAGCGGTGCCGCAAAGCGGAAACAACGTCAAGAAAGGGAAGAAAGTAAAAAAAAATTGACCAAGCTAGACAGCTTTTTTACGAAACCGCTTTCTGCTACAGTTCCTTCAACAGCTGGAATATCGGTCAAAAGTGACGAGTGTTCAATTATTGATAACGTGGACACAGCTGTATTAATTAATAAAGTGACTCGAGTAGATCAGGAATATCAGGATCCAATAACTACCGACAATACCACTGCTGAAAATGACTACCGCGACGCTTCCGTGCAACCTACATTAGAAGAATCATCCATTTCTTCATCTTCAAAACTTCTTGAAATTTCAAATGACTTGGGAAAGTACACGAACAAGAAATTGAACGATAACGAAAAACGGCTGATTCTTGACAAAGGACCTTTGAAACCTCCGGGACCTTTTCCGAAAGACCCCCACCAAGATAACAGGAGCTTTTCAGAAACGTATTACGTTTCTACGGCACAATACGGTCCAGTGGATCGTTTTTGGATATGCTATTCGAAAATTCTGGATGCTGCCTACTGCCAACCGTGTTGGTTGTTTGCTTCGCAAATAAATGCATGGTGCACAGGCATCCGGGACTGGAGGCATTTATCAGATAGAGTGAAGCAACATGGTTCCTCGAAAGCACACACGGAGGCGTGCGCTGTATATGAAGCGTGGCAAAAAAGTTCTACCATCGACAGAGAACTTGAAGATGAAATTCGCAAAGAAGCGTCATTTTGGAGACAAGTTCTTCGGAGATTATTCGATATCATAATTACTCTTGCGAAGAGTTCTTTGGCTTTGAGAGGACATCGAGAGGATCTGAGTGAGGGAGGAAACCACGGAAATTTTCTCTCAATTGTCCAACTCGTTGCTAGATACGACCACATCTTGCGTCAAGTTTTGGATATGCCCAAAGGTAAGAATTTATCTCGTTTACTGAGTTTATAATGTAGAAAATGATACTTTGTATAGATTTTGTAAATCAAAATATAGCGTTAATAATAATATAGATTGGAAAATTGTTGTTCCAAAAGAACATATTTTAGATTCTATTAGAAATAATCATGATGATTTAAATTCGAGTCATTTAGGAATTCATAAAACTTTGCATAAAATAAAACTACATTACTTTTGGAAAGGTATGTTTAATTATGTTCATAAATATATTAATAGTTGCGATATTTGTAAAGCTTATAAGCATTCGACTTCTAAACCACTTGGAACTATGATTAATCCCAAAAAAGTAGATAGACCTATGGTAATGTTAAGTATGGATTTAATTGGAATCTTACCCAAAACTTATTCTGGTCATAAATTTATATTCTGTATCTGTAGTAGATGTTTTTACAAAATATTGTTGGTTATTTCCTCTGGCTAATGCAACAAATAGATCAATGTGTAAGTTCTTAGAAAAAGATATCTTCATTAAATTCGGATGTTCAAAAATAGTTGTATGTGATAACGGTACTCAGTTCACTTCTAGAAATTTTGTAGATTTTCTTAAAGGTTTTAATATTGATAGAATATTTTATAATACTTTATATACGCCTCAGAATAATCCAGTGGAGCGTTATAATAAGACGGTTGAAACTTGCATTTCTTGCTTCGTTCGTGATGATCTTGGTCGAAATTTCTTCCACATGTTCAGTTAGCTTTGAATAGTAGTGTTAATTTGGCTACGGAGTTCACTCCGAATTTCCTAATGCTTGGTAGGGAGTTAATTGTTGATGCGTCATTGCACCGTTTTAGTAATTCCTTTGATAATTTATCACAGATCGATCTTGTTGACCGTTCTGCATTTGCTCATTCACTTTCTTCACTTGAAAGTATTTTTGTTAAAGTTACTGGAACTTTATTTAAAGCATATAAACGTAATGCTTCTTATTATAACAAGCGTCGTGAAGTCACTTCTTAAGATGTAGGTGATATTGTTTGGAGAAGGAATTTTGTTCAATCTAGTGCTGCTCATTATTTTTCGGCAAAACTAGCTCCGAAGTTTATTAAATGTAAGATTATTGATAAAGTTTCTAATAATGTTTATGTTTTAAAAGATTTGGTTAAAGGTACTTCTGGTCGTTACCACGTTAAAGACATTTTGAAAATTTAGATTGCTTAGCTGTTGTTTGGTTAGTTTTGTTAAACATAAACATATCTTTGTGTTTTGACTTTTGTTACTTGGGTAATTTTGAGGGTTTGATAGTTGATTTTCTGCGTGAAGTATGTTAGGTTTCCCTCGTGTAAGATGATGAAAGAAAGTGATATTACTCAATTACATTTGACTTTACTCATTGACTTTTTGGTTTTTATTAAATTCAAGTTTTGCCATTATATTATTTGACTTTGAAAATTTTTTGTAAAATTTAAATTTACGTAGTATGCCTACTTATTTTCTGCATCATAAGATTTTATAACCTTTTGTTTCATGCAGATGTTTTATCTGTATGGACACATTTTTTATTAGGATTTTATATGTCCTCATTTGTTATTTTTGTACAAACTTATTTGTTAGTACTATAGTTGTGTTTCTGCATGTTTGTTGTTTTATAACAATTTGTTTTGTGTAGAAGTTTGTGTGTGTGATAATTGTTACACCCGGATTTGACATTTTGGGATCCCTACTTTTTCCTTGGATTTGACATCCATGATTTTGACCTTTTTTCGTTCAATATTTTTGACGATTTGTTTGGTTTACCACTTTGTTTTGGTAATTTGTTTGCCCATATTTTTGGACATCAATTATTTGTTTTTGCACATCATGTTCGGAAGTTCGGTGGTGTTGTGCCAATCATGAAGTTGCAATTTCGACTTTTTGTTCAACATTGTTGACGCTTTTTGGTTTTGCCATATTGTTTTGGTATTTTGTTTGCCCATATTTATGGACATCAATTGTTTGTTTTTGTGCTCCATGCTCGGAAGTTCGGTGGAGTAGTGCCGATCATGTAGTTACAACTTTTGTTTTGGGTGCTTCATGTCCGGAAAGTCGTTGGTGTTGAGTCGGCCATGAATGTCACGTTTTGGTTTTCGCCAAATTTTTTTTGCTGTTTTGACTTTCGTCACTACATTTTGTTTTGTCGAACTGTTTGTTCTCGACGCCTTTTGCACATCATGTTCGGAAAGCCGGTGGTGTTGTGCCGACCATGATTGTGACTTAAATGAGTTAGTGTCAATTTTGCCACTAATCTCGAACTTTTTGGGGATTTAACTAATAGGTCTTGCGACTTTTTAGTATAGCAGTACTGGGGTGGGATTTTTCTAGAGTCTGCGACATAGCTGTCTAAGAGATCTCCCAAGAGTTGGTAGTAGGAGTAGATTGTAGTTTTCTGTCTGTGACCTAGATGTCCAACAGACCTTCAGAAATTAATGTTAAGAGTAGTAGAGTAGTAGTTTAAGAAATTTTAGGAATCTGCGATTTTAATATCCAACAGATCTCACAGGGGTTTAGGTTTTGAAGGAGTTTTAGTTTAGGAAATTTTAGAGTCTGCGACATAGTTGTCTAACAGATCTCCCCAGGGTTTAGTTAGAGTAGTTTGAATTTAGAGATTTTTTAGAGTCTGCGACTTTTTATGTCTGACAGATCTCAATAATGATGATGATAGTGGTTGAATTTTTTTTGTAGTAAGCGTTGCATACTTTTATTTTAGAGCATTTTGCTTTAGGTTTTTAATAATTTTGGGTCTGTGACTAATTCCGTTTAACAGCTTTTGTTTTGAGACTTGTGACTTTTTGTCCAAGGACTCCATAGTTTGATGATGTTTTGGTATTTGGATAACTTTATTTGAAGTTATTTTCTTTTCACTTTGGGTTTTCGTTTTCATCCATAATTCAACGGATTTCGTTTTGGCTTTTGGTAATTGAACTTTAGCTGTAGTTTCTTCAGCCTCGATTCTCGATGCTTTATTCGGGGAAGGGTGAAATGTAACATGTTAAAAACGTCACATGGATCTCCTTCGCTCGAAGAGCGAGATAGAAGATTTTTTTTGGTTGTCTCTCTGGTCGTTTTTATCTCGCGCCCATTTTCTGTAATCTGTGCACTTTTGAATAATTATGTTGCTAAATTTATCGAGCAGTAGGCTGAATGGACGTTGTTCTCTTTGCCTACCGCCAAGACAAACTTAAGAAAAGAACTGTCACTTCACTTCACTACCAAAATTTTTACGAGAAACATGTAAAAATCGTAATCGTAATTTGTCACATGATAATTCATTAGATTGTCAATTATTTTTTAATGGTAAGTGTTTTTCCAAATTCGAAAAGTGTTTTAATTCATATATTTCAATGATTTACATTAGGATTCATTTCATTTCTTTTTCAGATGAAACATTTTACATCATCCATACAAAATGGCGTTGATGATGCTTTAAGCTTAATTTAATTGAAAAAACGGTAAGAACCTTAGAGATTCCCTAAGATTTACATTTTTCCTTTGTTGTGAGCCATGTGCTAATCTGAGGAATGTTCGTTTTCAGCGAAAAGCGTTTTTTTTTATATTTGGAATTTTATTTGGAAATCGTATTCAAATCACGATGTTTCCCGTGATGTGGAGGTGAACCCACGGGACCTAAAAACGGCCATCCCCTACATATTTGCAACACCAGACATACATAACTCCAAAGATGCAGCAAAGTCGGTAATATTCAAATATATGGTTGTACCAGCACCCATATTACAGGTAAATTTTCATTTAATTCTTGGTAGTCATAGTGTAGAATAGTTTCTAAAGGACATTGTTCAGCGTCCATACATAGTTAGCCTAAGAACCAACAATCATGAAATATTGTTTTCTAGGTTCGAAATCGTAAGTAAATGACTGTAAAAACAAAGATTATTGACGGACACTTCTGAGAACTTAAATTATTAGGAAAACTAAATGTTTTTTGAGGTTATGTTTAATATTCAATGAAACATAGGTTAACCTATGAACTTAGTATGAAGTGAATTAATATTAGAACTAATCATTTCATTTCATCAATCACTCATCATTTTATTCGGTGCGATTTTAAAGAATAACTATTTAATATAGGTAGGAATCATGAATAAAATAAAAACTGTAGTTTTGCTTCTTATTTATTGACTATTTTTCACATAATTGTATCATATTGTATATGGTATTTATTTGTATATCACATGTATATTGTGTAAATTTGCAGCGTGAATGTGTATCAGGTGTTCTTGAATAATTTGGCAGTATGATCCTCTCAGGATGTTGTGACACAAGTTCACTAGCACTTGGTAATAAGGTCTCTGCTCTTTGGTAACATCGATGACCGAAATAGTTTAAATTAAAGGAAAAACAATCGCAAATAAACACACACAAACAACAGGTAATCCGAAACGAGAATGCACTTTCCTGTATATTATATTACTCTTTGGAATGCACAAATGCCACAGATTACTACGAATGCAAACTGCCTGCTTGCACCACAACCACAGAGTATCGAGTTTTATGCCGGCCCTTTGCTTGACAACAGTTTGTCCTTGTCATGCTTAATAAGGAATGAAAAGGACAGACTGATGTCATGTTTTAAAATAACAAATACGAATAGTAAGTGAAGTGCCGGCATAAGAAAGAAAGAGTGTTTAGTTTGCAGCGCTGTCATAGATTATACACTTAAAATGGTATTTATTGTCTCAGATTATTTTTTAACTCTTTAATTTAGCTTACTTAACTGGAAGTGTCCGTCACAATCTAAATACTGATAATTATCAAAAAAAAAAATTAATAATTATCTTAAATGCCAAATTGGTGTTGGTTCTTAGGCCAATTTTAACATTGTCCTTTAGCAGTAACCCTTTTGGACGTAAGTAATTTTGCAGTAAATTTAAATAAAATTACAAACCCAAAATTAACATGGATTTGCGTTAAACTCCCTTGCTATTAATAGTCCAATGTTTTCCCGGCTAATATGGTTTAATAATAATGTGGTAGGTCTGGCGCCCGAGTATTCTATTTAATTAATTTCGACCTATCCATTTAAAGTAATTTTCACAACAAACTTTTTATATTTTAATATTACACCGTTAACAAAATCGCTTCCACCTTTTTGGGATTAGTAGAACTGGAAGATGGAACAGTGACCACCATAGTAAATGGCTTAAAGTCATTACTGTCTAGGTTAAACCTAAATATTAAAAGAAATATCGGCATCGGTACCGACAACGCTTCCGTTATGACAGAAACCACCAACGGTTTTCATCAATTACTTAAAAATGAGACAACTAACGAAAACTTAGTGTTAGAACGCTGTGTTTGCCATTCATTGCAATTGGCTATGTCGCATGCCTAAAAAGAAACGTTACTTAGAAATATATAATTTTAATTCGTGAAACTTATAATTGGTTCAGTTATTCTTCAAAGCCACAAATCGTCGGCCTAATTGATTAACCTGCTAAGTAAATTATGGCAAAGGGATAAAGTCGATATTAATCTTCAATCGGATTGAAAAACCGTGCACAACTACACACATCGAAAACCTGCGCAATCCTGTTGGGGCCTCAGTTGTGTACTCATAATAATAATAAACTTTATTGCATATCACAAGTGTGTACATGGTATTTGGGGTACAAAAGGTCTTATAACATGTGACGCCCTGCAAGGGCATAGCAATTTTATGGCAGCACGCAATGTTAAATTATTTTTAATAGTAGATTAATGATTCGAAAAATTCAAACAATAAACAATTCACATGTCAAATAAAGTATATCACGTAAACAACAAGTCTAATACATACAATATAAAAGTAAATTTAAAATGTCGATCATTATTAGAAAAAAAATTCATTTCATTAAAAAATAATATTATATTAAAAATCTGACAAAGTTACGCCGTCCACGGGCCTGTTGGGACGCTCGAAGATTTTCAATGTTTTAATCAAATAATTAACTACGTCGTGTTGGTAAATGACAAAATTATAAACAAGGTAAATCTATTTTTTCTATCTTTAAGTTATTTTTTCATTCAGTGTGGTATTCCAGTGTTTTAAACACATTCAAATCATAACCTAACTATTAAGGACTTAGCATGTGTGAATATTATAATATCATCTTAGTAAAAGGATTTAGCAGTTTGTCGCCGACTAGTCTTACACACGAGAGGAGACGTGCGGGAGGAGGGACCACGACCAAGGGGACAATGGGCCGCGGCGGCACACACTTTCTTACGCTTCATGCACAGCTTCGCACCGCCGTCGCCATTTCAACCTTTTCTTTATTTTATCGCTGAGTGTTACAGCTCGTGTAATAATCAAACCTCGTGACCTACTCATTGGTCCTTCTCGGTAGCTGCAAGACAGAAAATTATACGGTCGACGTACGCAAAATTTCAAGAAGCTCTTCAGTGCGGTCTTCAGCAGCCAGATTTCTTCAGGAGCCTATCTACGGTCTTATCCTAACGAAGAATCGACGCAACGCATCTTGAGAAAAAATTGTAATTAAGAAGACGGTACGCAGGTTTGACTTTGGATCCGTGGAAGTTTCGAAGCGAAAGGACTACGTTACCCGAAGAAGAAGGCGACGGTTTGGGTTTTTGTGAGTCCGTTCGTTATATTGTTTTATTGTTACTTTAAGAAAAGGAGAAGAGGTTATAAAAGATAATACTGAGTCCGTCCCTTTAAATTCGACCGAGCGAGCAACGCGGACATACGGTACATGATACTTTTGTCAAGTCCGGTCTCTCGGCCTCCTCGCTTATTCCAGGGACCTTTTGGTCAGTCGGCGGTGACGTCGTAGGTGCTACTGTTGGTGTTTCAGCCGGCGGTGACGTTATAGGTACTGTTTGTGTTTCAGTCGCTGATATTGTTTAGGTCACAGTAGTTGTTGAGGCCTTATTCGTTGTAGATGCCTAAGTCGTTGTTGAGATTCCAGTCGTTGGTGTTGCAGTCGACAGTGACGTCGTAGGTACTGTTGTTTTTGTTTCAGTGGGCGGTGACGTTGTGGGTACTATTGTTGGTGGTTCAGTCGGCGGCAACGTCGTAAGTACTGTTTGTGTTTCAGTCGCTGATATTGTTTAGGTCACAGTAGTTGTTGAGGCCTTAATCGTTGTTGATGCCTTAGTCGTTGTTGAGATTCCAGTCGTTGGTGTTGCAGTCGACAGTGACGTCGTAGGTACTGCTGTTTTTGTTTCAGTCGGCGGTGACGTTGTGGGTACTACTGTTGGGGGTTCAGTCGGTGGCAACGTCGTAGGTACTGTTTGTGTTTCAGTCGATGGTATTGTCCTGGCCTCAGTAGTAGTTGAGGCCCCAGTCTTTGGTGTTTCAGTCGGCGGTGAAGTTTGTGTTTCAGTTGGTCCATGTGTGGGAGTTTCAGTTACTGTAGGTGTTGCTGACGTCGTAGTAAGAGGAGAGCATATTTTTTAGTCATTGTCTGATACTGTTTGGCATCCTCTACACACATAACATTTTAAAGCGTCCGCTGCAGGATAAAAAAATAAAATAAGAATTATGGGAGCTAAAGTGGCTTCCTATTAGACTGCGCCGTGAAGAACATGTTCTCACTTTGCTTTATAATGTGTTGTACTGCACTCCCCCTTACCTTAAGGAATTACTTATCTATATTCCTTATTATTCCTTTCTTATTGCTAGTAAATTCCCAATAGTCCAATTAGGAGTAAATTATATTTCTTCTTTCGTTTCTTCCATTCATAAAATCATTATAAATATTCGATTCAATGTAAAAAATGTAACGTAAATAATAAACATTTTCACAACATAAGATTAACACCAAACTCCTATCATTGACCGGTACCATACGAAACATATCAAAATATCTACCGCGAAAAATCAAATATTTTATTTATAATTCTTTGATCAAACCACACATAGACTTAATCGAAGTTTGGGGTACAGCTTTTAAATCCAACCTGGAAAAAATCCAAGTAGCACAAAATAAATAGATTAAATCATTGTTTCATTATAATTACCGCACGCCTACAAAAAAAATCTACGAAGATACTAAAATAATGAATATCAAGCAAACTTATACCTACTTCACATGCATTTTAATAAATAAAATATTAAATGGCCAGATTCATTCTTCGTTAACGTTTCGTAAAAAAGCCCAAATACAAAAAATTAAACTACGAAATGCAAATCATTTAATATCACGCCCCCAGAACTAACTACGGCAAAAGAAACATTGAACATGACGGTGTAATAATATATAATAAGCTGCCAATAAAAATAAAAGATGCAAAATCAAGGATAAGTTTTAAAAAACAGCTCAAAAATTATATTTTAGAAGAAATCTATTAATATCATAATAAGTATAAACTTCAAATATATATGGTTGATTCTGTCGTTTCGTGCAAATTAGAACTATTCCGCGTAATAAAAAAAATAAGCATATAGTAAATATATTTTATATGTAATAGAATTCACATTTTTAATGGATTTATAAACAGCAAAAGGCACTTTGTTTTCATATTTAGTAACTGAAATTAACAACTGGATGGTAATGAAAAAGATATTTGATTGGATGGTAATGCAAATAGAACTGATGGTAATTTTTCTAATGGATAGTAATGAAATACTTTCTAATAACTGTATATACTGTATACTAGTATGTAGGGGTTGTAATAATTTAGTTAATTAAGGAAAAAAAGAATCCGTAAAATCACTTTTTTATTTCTATTCAGATTATTACAATTACAATTCAGTCTCCAAAAATCAACAATAATAGAAGAAACATTTTTACAGTTTTTATCTGATTATGTAAATGTTTCTTAGCCAAGTCGTTTCATATAGTCCAACATAATTAGCAAATAAAACAATACTAATAATAACACTCTTAGATCTCTTATTTGTGTACTTCAAAACAATAATATTTATCTTACAAATCTACTGAAAACTTTAAAATAATAACAAAAGAATAAAAATCTTCTAAAATGTTTAACAAAATATTGATGTAACTCACTCTCAGACTAAACAATTTAAAGTTAATCAAAATAATCCACCTTGATATTACCTCAGCCTTGGGTGCACTGGAAAACTATGAAAAACCACATACATAATTTGACGTATTTTAAGTGCGTCGGCTCGCCCTTAAAAAATATTATAATCATCACTGTCAGAATCATATCTGGTATATCCAATGTAACCTTTGTCCTTTTTATCTGAACTATTTGATTGAATAAATTTTTCGAATTCCTGTTGATGTTCATGATTTTTTGTGGAGTTACATTTTCCTTTGGTTTCTTATAAATTTTTTTATTTTCCCAATGGAATCGTACCTCAGATAAAATTTTGACTTTAGGAGATCTGATCGATGTCGGATGTCTAGTTTTATTAACCAATGGCATAAGTTGCAAATCTATTGGATCTCTAAGAAACTCTAAGCTTTTATAAATATCTGATTCATCTAGGTTATTTAAAATTGCAGACGTACTTAAGCTTATCATGGACTCATTGTCATTTTTATTTATAGAGTTATTTTGATCACACTGAATAACTGACGCATCTTCCTCCATTTGTCCATAGTTATCAAAATGAAGAAAGCCTAAATGATTATTATGTATACAAGGATTGCTGCTATTTTCACACTCGAAACAGCTAAGTTTTCTCAAAGCTATAGTTTTATTATAATCAGCGGACCAAATTACTTGGTGAACGTGCATTGTACCTTTAAAACCTGGAACATCAGGTGGAATTTTTTTTTCATTGATATCATTTTCTGTTATGATCTCAAAATGAACGTTTGGTATATTTTTGGTCACCAACGACCAAAAGTCTTCAAAATAACCAACATCTCCACCATATCTGACAAAACTATCAGCAGTTCTTTTTACAACTGCACCGATACCGTCTGGAGCTCCCTTCCCATGTCCAGATTCTTGATAGTTCCATGATACTTTTCTTATATTGGGGTTAAAATCTCTTAATTTTGTAATCACATAAAAAATATTCTTATTTCGATATTGGCTTGAAGGCGAATCGGACAAAAAATGTAATGTTTCATATGGTGCCAATGTTCTAGCCATCTTCAAAATAGGACATATATGAGCCCATATGGCTCCTGCACCATGTTGCAAGCAATCGCTAATAGTACAAAACGATTTGGTTTTAAGTGTACCAGTATCACAGTCTTTATAGTAAAGAACCCCAGTGTGCAAGGATACTTGTTCCCTGCTTCCTCCGAAATGAAAGGATTGTATCTCCTGATTATATTTCAAACAATAATTTTCGCTAAAATCAACGTGTATTATCATCTCTTTATCTTTTAAAGATTGCTTTAATTGTTTAATAGCTTCGTATTGCACTATAATGTTAAGATTGTGTTTGAGAAATGTAATTAAAACGGATTCTAATTTCTGAATAACATTTCGCGGATAATCTTCAAATTTTTTTTTTATTGTAACAATTTTTATTTTTTGCTCTTTATCTTTCACTGTATATGGCTTTTTCTCTACAATCCATTGATAAAAAATAATTTTTTCATCATTTTGAAATTCATGGTAATTTAAAACTTTACTCGCACAAAATTTACATGTGCCTTCCAAACATTTTCTTTTTGCTTCACAACAGAGGCTATTGATAACGTCTGTACCAGTACTTTCGGAAATAATCTTCGCATTTTTCAGAGACTTAATCAAATAATTAACATTTGAATGCAATTTGCACTGACAAGTATCTCGATCTACTTTAGGAAATACTACCCAAAAGGCTCTATATTTACAAAACGTGGAATAGCTTATTATGTAATGTTCCCTTAAGAACTTAGCATGAAGGTTTTTTAAATTATCGGTTAAGTAACGCTTTTGTTTTTTCTCACCTGTCTTCTTTATAAATTCTCTTTTTCCAGCTGCAAATCTACTGTTTGTATCTTCTTCAAAAAACGATTTTATTTGGTTAATCATTATTTGTTTTGTACTTACTGTTACATTTTTCTTTCTTCGGGAAAATGGCAAGCTATGAAGCAATTTGTATTTTCGTAATCTTCTATCATCTTTTATTATTGTGTCTGCAAAAATCTTTTTCTCTTTTTTAGTTGTAGTTTGATAGCTATCTTGTAAATTTTTTGATATAGATTCGCTGAAGAGCAGTTTCTTTTTTATTTCCTCTTTCCTTTCTGATCGTATGTCAGTCAGTACTTCTTCTACTTTTTTTTCAATAGAGTCAAATACTTTAAGAGGTGCATTACTTCGTTTACGTAATGCATCCTTCTCTTTTTCTAGCTTATTAATTTTATCTTTCAATTTCTTAATTGTTTTAAAATACTTATAGCGCATACGCCTTATTATTTTTTTCGATTTAGTTACTTGTACAGATGTGCTTTGATTTGGTGCTGGTTCATCAAGTATCAAGGGGTCTAGTACAAGAGGTTCCTGATTAACAAAATCACCTGAGTCACTCGGGGGAGGTGAGTTTTCTACCAACATCTTCTCTAATCTAATATTTTCTGCCTTCTTTTGTAAATACTTCTGTGAATTTTTCCGCCAACGTCTTCTTTGCTCTCTTTGTGCCCTAGGGGTCATATCTTTAATGCTACAAATCTTTTTCTTCTCTTTTCTCGCTAAATATCTGCTTCTTTCTTTTTCTTTTTGTAGCAAGTATAACTCGGGATCATTTTTAATTTGAGCATAATTTTCTCGTTTTCTTAGTCTATCTTTTGCCAGCTTTTCTTCTCTTGATAATTTTTTACGAGTTTTAGCCATATTAATACTGAAATAAAATTATAATTAATATGTAATAAATTTATTTTTGATAACGTATTCATTAATATAGAATTCATTACACGATAATGTATTTACTGTTATCGTTATCTTTCTCCCAGTACCAGATCAACACAATTAGTGAGATATAATTTGCGAACCAGGGAGTGATATAGTTCAATAAATTAAGTTAAAAAACACAAAGGATCCGTTATCACCAAACATAAAATATGATGAAATGCCCTTCGATAAATCATTTTGAATTGTAATTCAGTACGTGGTTTAAGTATCGTAAAGTTTATGTAATTCAGTACGAGGAGTTCGATGGCGCAAGTGGTTAGCGCGTTCGGCTGCGATCGTTGAAGTTAAGCAACTTTCGCAATGGTCAGTCATTGGATGGGTGACCATAAATTTACTATCTCGAGCTCCTCCGTGCTTCGGAAGGCACGTTACGCTGTTGATCCCTGCTGCATCTGCAGTCGTTAGCAACCACCAATCAGCGTGGTGGGTCGTGACCCAATCTTCCTATTCCATCCATAGAGAAGGCCTGTGCCCCAGAAGTGGGGACATTAATAGGCTGATGATGACGTTAAACCACGTAGAAAATAATAATATATTCATTTCCCTCCAAAACTCTTCATTACCATCAGTCTAAAAATTGGAAGGAATGGATGGTAATGATGTGGATATGAATGAATAAATAAAACATTTTCATTGACAGAATCTTAACCGAATAAGTAAGAAACTCGGAAATTGAGACGGATGCCGACCTCCGTGGCCGAGTGGTTTAAACGCCGGGTTTCATGGCGTCGCCGACTCGAGAGGTCCCGGGTTCGAATCCCGGTGGGGGGCAGATGTTTGTGTGATGAATACGAGCATTTGTACTCCAGTCATGGATGTTTGATATGTATTTCATATAAATATACTTATATATGTACAATATATGTATTCTATCCGTTACCCTAGTATCCCATAACACAAGCCTTTACAGTGCTTACTTTGGGGCTAGGCTAATTGGTGTGAGTGTTGGAAATATTTATTTATTATTATTATTATTAAAATGAGACCCAGAGATAAGCATATTAAGTGATTTTAATAATTTACTTACCAAAGTATCGTGTAAAATCAATGGAATGTGATGAAGCGATTTCTGTACAAAGCACTACTGACGACTCGAAGATCGTAAATAATTATGGCATAGACTAGCGCACGTCCACCTCGCTGCTTGCTCACAGTGTACTGACCAGTAAAAACACGTTGTAACCTAAACATCTTCGAAATCGAACGAATAACCTACTAAATTAAGAAGTTTCTGGGTACGGATGTGGATGAAATTTTTATAGTGACAATTAGAAATATTAGGTTTTCTGTTAATTTAAATTGATTGAATATTACATAAACATGTATAATAATAGTTTAAGAGTTTAACTATAATATTGTATCATAAGTTAAGCAATTAATTAGAATATAGACGTACAAACATTAAAGTTCCCGCCAAGGAATTCTGTTGGAAACGGATAGTAATGATTTTACACTAGGTTTTTATTTATTATCTATAAAAATATTAAACAATCATGCAATATTAATGGTACTCCCTTGAAAGCGATTATGCTTTTACTTATTATGCATATAAAAGTTAACATTAAACAATAAATTCACGAGTAAATAGCCTGGATATCCTTTTTGCACGAAACCACGGAACTACCCATATACAACATTGAATAAGACAGATATGTTCATATCTTATTTTTATTGGGGCAAAATAAATGAAAATATTAAGATTTTGTGAAATATATATCTACTATATCGATAAACTATAAAAACATGTTTTTTTTAAATATAATTATAAATAATTGTATCTACCAAGTAAATTAATAAAAAGTTAACATAATATAAAAAAGTTAAACTAAATAAATAAAAGCAATATATTTTTTTTAAGCATGTAACTGCTAAGTTCATAAATAAATGGGAAAATTAAACCTACTCTGTCTAATTTACATCAAACATGCCATGCCGCGTCTAGAATCGATCCCAAACAGACCGTTCTTTGTACATCCGTGGTTGCCTAGTGCAACTGTGCGAGTTGCGATACAATATCGATCTACCCACGTTGATTTTATTATTATATGTGTACGCTCAAGTGTTATATGCATTAAGTTAAAACTTCATTTTTCTCAGTAAGTGAATTGTATTATTCTTTTTGAGAAATAAAATTCTTTAACCATTATAAACGCGCAGAGCGAGCGCATCAGCCGGCCGCTGCACAGCTGTTCCTATGTTTGTTATCGCTCGGTGAATGCACATGACAGTGAGCTGTCGTAGAAAACAGGACTTCGCAGATAATAAAACCAATACACTATGCGGATTATATGCTAGATCCTCAAACACAAGGCATCAAACTAAGTAAAGATGAACAAGGGGAAGCGATGGAATTTATTTACTATATCGCAAATCATTTAAATATTGACTGTCTAGCTGATCTGGCTAAGTTTAAAAGGAAAAAGGGTTTATGGTGCAAACAATTCGTGTAGAAAGCAGCAGAGAATATTAGTTCTGTTTGATGATGGAAAGGAATTTGCGGGTCAAGTCAACTGCGCTAAAGTAGCTCTTCGAATATTGACTGCGCCCTGCACTTTAGGTGCACATGTTTTTATACATAATGCTAAAAGGAACCGTCTCACAAAGGAAAAAGCTGCTAAAATTTGCTATTTGGCATTGGAAATTAATGCATAAGGAAGATTCTACTATCGCAAGTCCATCGGATGACTGCGATATTGATAATTCTATTACTGAGGAACTTTTGGAACTTAATTTTTCATAAATTGTACGAGCAAGCGCGTACATCGTCACATCAGCACATTTCGTTGACCTAAATTACCTATTCATAAGTAATTTTATTGCACAAAAACAGTTCGCAATCATCAACTCATCAAGTCACGCGTACTCATAGCAATTATTATTTTATAGTTATTTTTAGTCCTTTCTCCAAATACACAGTTTTATACTACAATATCAGTTTATCATTTAATAGTTCCAACCCGAACATTGGTCCTTCGAGCTAAACGGGATAGCGGGACCAGGAACACCGTGAGTGAACTTTGAAACGTGTCAGTGTTTCCGCTTACCAATACAAAATAACTTAGTGTATTCACTGAGTACCTATAGTCACTGTGTCAAATCAAGTGGCGTAGTGAATTATCAAGAAATACCTTGCTGTGCTATCAAGACGCACAGCAATCTTGCAGCAAGGATCCAGCAGCGCAGTACGTGGCTACCCTGAGTGGCAAAGTCATCCAATCAAGTAAGACCTGTCCATTTATTTCAAGTTAGCCATGTCGTCTGTTAGCGATGTTATTCCCAACCAACAGCAAATAGCAGGAGCAATCGAGACTCTATATACCAACTTCAAGAAGGATAGTTCCAGTAGGAAAACTCCAGAATATCTGAAGCGTAAGATAGACATTCTCGATAGCTATTGGTTAGAATACGACACCAATTATAAAAAACTGATAGCTAGTGAGTTAGATGTGTCAACAAGAGATTACATCGATCAGGATTTGGAAAGAGTGAAAGAGAGGTATGGTAATATCAGGGCCCATCTCCAAAATTATCAACCTGTAGCAGAGGATAGGCCCAAAACGCCTATCTTAAAACCCCCTACCTTTTTGACTCAATTAGGTGATGCTTCCAAGTTCGAGGGTGGGAATCCATCCCACCAATCAAGAATTACAGTAAGTAGGACGGAAGAAATGTTGAGAAAGCAACAAAGTAATTTTAGGGCTTTTCATAGAACGGTTCAAGGCATTAATTTAGATTCTATTTCTGAAAAATGGGAGTTTGAAGATTTGCTTCGCACTGTTCAGTCTCGGTGGGGTGCAATAGACTCGTTACACTGGGATCTGGACAGCGAGTTAAATGGCTCTAATCAGGAATATGAGCAAACATTTTCAGCGTACGAGCGTAAGTACGACGCAATCAAGAAGGCTGTAAACAAGAAGATGTGGTCAGTAGCGCATATTGAAAACACTACTCCTAGAATGGAAATTCCGATTTTTACAGGTAATTATAATTACTGGGTGTCTTTTAAAGACCTTTTTACGGAAACGATACACCGTAACCCGTCGATGTCCAATGCTCAGAAGATGCAATATTTAAAATCAAAAGTTAAAGGTGAAGCAGAAAAATTAATACAACATCTTCATGTGAGCTCCGAGAACTATGAAGTTTGCTGGGACATATTGAACCAACGCTATAACAACGTAAGGTTGATATTCACTTCGCAAATGCATACGTTAATGAATATTCCCTCAATGCAACAGCCATCAGTCGCTGTTCTAAAAAGAATGCATGACACAACTAAGGAGTGTCTCAATGCAATAAAAAATTTAGGGGTTGATATCAGTACGTGGGACCCCATTATTGTATATCTTTTAACGCAAAAATTAGATGCGGAATCTTATACGGACTATATTGAGTCTGTAAAGAACCCGAGAGATTTGCCAATCTTAAAGGAGCTATTACAATTTTTAGAATTAAAATTTACTACTCTAGAGGCATCTCGCAGAAAGCAAGACAATTCTGTACAAAAATATCAAGTAGCAACAAAAATGACCAATAATAATCAGAAACCTAATTACTACAAAAGTGCATTTTCATCAAGTAGCAAAATTATGACGAAATCGGCGCCTTCGACTAGCAGCAAGAAAGTCGTTTCAGCAAAATGTTCATTGTGCAACAATAATGAACATGGTATTTATTTTTGTAAAAACTTTTTAGACATGACGCCATACAACCGACTTAAGACTGTTACCAAGCTCAGTCTGTGCCCCAATTGTCTTTTTAATCATCGTGGCCAGGAATGTAAGTCCGAAAGATGTTGTCGTGAATGTAAGAAAGATCACAACAGTTTGTTGCATGATGCATTTACGCAATCTGCCCGCCCAACGATAAGCAGCGAAACACCAATGCGCGGGGCGAGTGCGCTCAATAGCACAAATGCAAAC